TTTTGTTTCACTGAAGTCATACTGGCTTCGCACCACGATGTGTTGCATGGAACACTTCCATGGAACACCTGCAAGTGTTCTCATCTGAACACCACCTGTATTTTATTTTGGGTTTTATAATGGTCTCAGAGTATAGTGGAATATATCATTCTGTACTTGACATTCATCTCCTCTTTTTATTTAAGTGCTTATACTTCTGTGTTTTCCTGGTTTTAAATGATGTGGCCCAAGAATAGTGTGTTAAGTAGTAGATATACTGGAGAGGAGGGTTAAGTGATCTGTGTTGCTCTCGTTAGCACTGCTTTCCATGTCATATAACCATAGTACTAGAAAATTTCTCAGGGATGGATAGCCTACCCCCCCATGCCATCGTCCTGACACACACAGTGAGGCTGCTTTCAGCCTCGGAGCGTATTACAGTCTGGTTACTGAGAATATTGTAGTATTACTGCTTTGTGTATAGTTCCCTGGATGAGTTAATTAAAATGCTTGCTTTGTTGTGTTAAGGTTGAAGCTCTCTCCAAGTCCCTCCTCCCGTGTTACAGTCTCTCGGGCTACCTCCAGCAGCAGCAGTAGCAGTACTTCACTTGTTCGCTCTTCCCGAGGCAAGAGAAAACGTATGGAAGCAGAGGAGCTTTCAGGCAGCGGAACAAGTGGAATTGGCACTGGAAGTATTAGCGGCAGCAGTAGTAGCAGTAGCTTCCAAATGTCCCAGCAAGCTTCAGCTACAGGAAGTATCAGCATAGAAGAGATAGACCTGGAGGGCAAATATGTTCAACTGAAGAACAACTCAGAGAAGGTGAGTGTCAGCACAACTCCTAGAAAACAAGGAGGAGGAGCTAAATTGAAGTGTTACACAGCCTGTTGTAGCACAAGTAGGTGCAGTCACTTGGAGAGCAGGAGCAACATTTCTGGGTGTGGCATCCTGCAATAATTAGCAGGGGCATTTGAAAGTTGAACATTACAGTGTGCTAGCACAAGTGTAATGTTTGCTTCAGGAAGAGAACATAGTTTGTGTCCCAAATGTCTAAACGTGTGCTGGTATGTCACTCATATAAATAGCCTTGCTGGCTCTAGCAGAACTTCTTTGTGTGAAATGCGTCTCTTTTTAAAATTTGCTGAATGACCTTATGGGATTTACACTTGAGACTATAAGTGGGTATAGAAAAATACTTTAAAGTTAGAATGCAGATGTTTAGCAACTGTGTAAATAAATTTTTATCTGCATTATTTTAATAACAGAGACCTAGAGAAAGCTCTGCCTGTTTGCTCTGTTTTGCTCACCCTACATAACCTTATGACTCTCTCCATTAGGATCAGTCTTTGGGTAACTGGAGACTGAAAAGACAAATTGGAGATGGAGAAGAAATTGCTTACAAATTTACTCCTAAGTATGTCCTCCGAGCTGGGCAGACTGTAACAGTAAGTTATACTTACAGTATGTTAACAACATATTCTTTTGTTGATGCTGTGGCAGTTGTAAATCTGATGTTTGGTACAGCTTGATTTGGTGTATAACTTGGTTTCATGGATCTCACTTTAGAGGAGCAGGATTTCAGTTATAAAAATGCAGGACAGAAATTGAATTTCTGTATTAGCACTTTAGTATTTAAGACCATTTTGGGCACAGAGGAAGTTGAAGAAAAGGGTATTTTGGGGAGTGGGTCGAAGGCTGTTTGTTTTCAAACACCTCTGCTGAGGTTTGGAACACTAATCCTGCTCAACCTCTTAATGAAATAGGAACACTTTGGAGCATTCATTCAGTCTAGTAGACAAGTTTAAGACTAGACATGCTTGGCCTTAACTGTAGTAGAACAGCTGCTTTTCTGTAATTTTGTATTTTATTTTCAGTCTGCAACAGATCTTCTTTCAGAAGAAAACAGTGGCTTTAGTTCCAGCTATTTCTACTTAAGTATCAATTGCTCAGATACATATAAAAGATTAAATTGATATGCTGCAAGCTGCATTTTATGACTTGGCTCCATACAGTATTGTCATTGAGACAGTGGTAGGAGAAACTTGTATATTCAGAAAAGAATTGATGACTATTGTATTAGATAATTTTTTTCTCTTTTTTTATTTTTTTCTCTCTTTTTTAATGGCTAGTGTTACTTTATGTTGTAGACTGAGAATTGTAGACTGAGAATAGTATCTTACTACAAGTAGTTGTGTAGGTAAAAGCGGGGTAAAACTGCCACTGGAATTCAGAAACAAAACCAGTACGTAGAGAGAAGTAGGAGAATTAGGGGCTTCTGTATACTTAAAAATAAAATGTGCATAAATAGCTAATTACAGAATGTCTTTCTCACTAGATTTGGGGTGCAGATGCAGGCGTATCTCATAGCCCCCCTTCTGTTCTCGTGTGGAAGAATCAAGGCAGCTGGGGCACTGGAGGAAATATCCGCACATACCTCGTAAACTCTGAAGGAGAGGTAGGCTGTGTCTGTAGGAAAAAAAGCTGTGGGCTGGGTTATCTCCCGAACTCTTTAATTTGGGGGGAAGGAAATGGCAACAACAAAATCCTGATTTTAAGATTGTCTTCTAAAATAAGACCGTTTATAGCACTGAAATAATTAAATATCTGTACGTGTATCTGAGATTTCTGGGAAATTTTGGAAAACCGATCATCATCCTGATTACATACATAAACTTTTTTCCTGTTTTAGAAAAACACCGTGCTAGTAGAGAATTTGTCTGGAATTTGAGTATGTATTTTCAGAAGAGACAAAGAAAATAAGTATTGCTGGCAATTCAAAGTTACAATATATAGCGTATACAATATTCTGGGGTGCAAAGTAAATATTAATGTAGGAAGATAGGTGTCCTCTCAGTGTTGGAAGTGTCCAGAAGTTTTCATTTGGCACGGGTTCCTGTGTATTCTGCATTGTCCTACGTTTGCCCACAACTGATTTTTTTTAAAACCATCCCTGCAGAAGACTCCTGCAAGGGAGGATCACACCTTGGCTGTTATTCATAAATGTGCCATTATCCCATTGATCTGACAGAAATAGGAAAGTGAAACATACCACAGCTGTATCAGTTTTCATGCTGTCTTTCTTGCTGGCAATTCTGTGGAAGCACTTTGTGCAGGAACAGCAGCACAGCACAAGGTAGAATTGAAGTGTCATTTGTACAAATAGAAAGCTAACTGGCTTAGTATTCAAATAGAAGTGGTTTAACTAGTATCTGAAAAAAAATTCAAATCCATGTCCGTTCCAAGTGTGGTTACCTTTAGTATCCCTGCTTAGAAGTGTATGTTTAGGGCAACTTTTTCCACAAGTAGAAATTTGCACCTATGATCGCAAGGGTGTAAGTGTACGGAAGAATTTTTTACTACTAAGGAGTGTTAAAAATAGTAATAAAGGAAGCTTGCTGGGGTTTTAGAATTCTTTTTGGTGCCTCATTTGGAAGACCATCCTGATAATTGATATAGGCAATTGATACAGAATATTTAGTAAAAATCAGGAATATGCTGTGTAATCATATGGAGAAACTTTAGTTTCTCACATTATAGTATGTCTCAAGACAGCTCCTAGCTGGGTCTGCTATGAGCTTGTATAAAATTGAGTAATGACCACCTGAAACATGGCTGCTTCCTCTCAGATCCTTAGGTAAAGACAATTCCTGAAGCTGAATTACATTACCATGCCTTTTAGTGGATAGAAATAGGAATGTTGTTGTGGTTTGCAGGATATTACCAGTATTTGCTTGCATAGCTAATGTTAAATTTAGGGCAAGTTGCTTTAAACCCTCCAAAATTTAATAGGGGTATTATACTGATGGTATAGCAAAAACTTAAGAGATAGACTACTAGCTGTCTCCTTAACTGTCATTTTGTGTAGGAAGTTGCAGTGAGAAGTGTTACTAAATCAGTAGTTGTGCGAGAGAACGAAGAGGAAGAGGATGAAGCAGAGTTTGGAGAGGAAGACCTTTTCAACCAACAGGTAATGAGATGCAGATCAGATGTTTAACTTGTGCCTCGTTGGTTGGATTAATCAGGCGTAAGATTTAGGAGGGTCCCTTCAACTTTTGTCAGCTCTGAGCTTCCTGGTCCATTTTTCCAGTGGAGGCTTGCAGAGGTTGATCTCAGAATGGCTTGCAACCCTGCAGCATTACTGCAATGCACAGAGAGCATAATGTGAGCGATTCTTCCAGGAACTGCTGCTTGAATCAATGGTACAGCTCAAGCAGTGACTAATCTATGGAAGTATGCAACAGATCAGAGATCTACAGCGTTGCAATGACATGCACTATTTTTAGAGTTTGTAAGATTAGTTTTAGCAGTCAGTATTCTTCCCATTTGAGTATTTACTTCTCTATAAAAGAGTCTGTGGCATTCTTGCTGTAAGCACAATATAACCATTAGGAAATACAACCACTGAAAACCAGGAAAGGGGGAGTGCTTCTGTTGCTGCAAGCTTCAACTTATTGGTTTATTTTCTGATAGTATTATATTTGCTACATGTGAAATAAACTTGTTTTTTCTTAATAATACCACCTGTATGTTTTCATAACCCTTAGTTAAGTACTGTGAAATAACTGACCAGCAGTCAGCAAAGTGAAAAGGAGAAAGATACTTCATACAGGTGATACCAGAAAATACTTTAAATTTATTTCAAACTCAAGCGATTTGTTCTCCTGATCAGTGGCCATTAGTAGCTGCTTTACAGAGAACTCATTCTGTGCAGGTTTGAAATTGAGTTCTGAAAGCTTTTTTGGTCTACAGGAGATTGAGCAGTGTACCTGTAGTATACAGCAACTGAAACACAAACTCTTTTCTTTTCTTTTTTTTTACCCAAAGCAGCAACTATGCAGCATAGATCTCTCTCAAATGGAAACATCATTTGAAATAAAGGAAGTCTTAATCCTGGCAGTAGACTGTGATGTGTGCTATGCTTTCTCTATAGTTGTGATGTTCCCTGAACATAAATAAACTACAAAAAAAAATGCTTTTAACAACCAGAGTCTAGGCTTACAATATGAAAAGCTAGAAAGAACTGAGTTCAACTGTCTGTCTTATTTTAGGGGGATCCCAGAACAACCTCTAGAGGATGCTCAGTGATGTGAAGAAAGAAAAAAGAAACTATTATAATTTGCTAATTTTTTTCATTTATTTCCTTTTATTTTTGCTATTTTTTTTCCCTCCAGAGCCACTGAAAACTATTTTTATATGCATCATCTGATTTCTTTGAAGTTTACTCCTTGGTACCTTTTTATAAAAAAAATAAAAAAAAAAACCCTTTACTGAACAAAACTGCCAGAATTTTTAATAGATTTCTTTATTTTTCCCTCTTTGTTGAAGCACTATTGGAATACAACATTTTCCCCCATACAGAGTTTAAGGTCTTATGTACAAACCTGCAGCAGAAAAGAAATTTTTAGCTAAAATGGGATGAGACTCCTTGAGTGTATGGTAATTCTATAATAGCATATATAACCAGGATAACTGGGGGATTTTTAAAAAAAAAAAAAATTAAGGAAGTGTGTTCATCTGATAGGCCCCAGGAGAGATTCACAGTAGTGTCTCTTCCATACCTTAAGAAATGGTAGAATTTTGCCTGGTATCGTCAGTAGTGCCCAGCTTAGGAAAATTAGACACCAAGTGCATTAAAAATGCTACTCCACCAATGGAAGTAACAAAGGGAAGCTGCATTTTAGACTTTCTTGGCTCAGGACCATGGCACCTTGTCCTGCTCCAGGATTTGACAGCCTGGTGGTAAAAACGTCCAAGTCTGTCAACCCCTTAGCTCCATATCGTTATTTCAGAAGATGGAGAACGATGTGTTCTGCTTACTGAATAAATACACCATCGTAAGGTATGGACATGTCAAAACCAGAGTTTTAACTGGTTTCTCTTTTTCCAGGGGATTTTGACATTGTCACAAATGAGACCTTGTTAAATCATGGATGCAAGTTGTGATGTACAGTATTTATCACAGAATGCTTTGGGTTGGAAGGTACCTCTAGAGATCATCTAAGCCCAACCCCCCTGCAGTGAGCAGGGACATCTTTAAGTAGATCAGGTTGCTCAGAGCCCCATCCAACCTGACCTGGAATGTTTCTAGGGAAACATTTATATGTTAAGCATCATGATTTAATGCTTTTGACATATTCAGCATTAAACAGAATGATAAGATTTTAGATGTTAAAAATATTTTTACTTTTGACAGTGATAAATATTGGGGATTTTAAAGGTTATCCTGTGTAAATGTTGACTTTTTAATCAGACCTAGATGCAGCTTGTTCATACTTCCCTTATATTCAAAGGGGTGTTGTCAGATATCTTAAGGAGCAGTATTTGCAAAATAGTACAGAAGTAGTTTAATGACTTTTTAAAAAGTTAAAAGGAACTGCTGTTGTTTAGGACATGAGCATTGCTTTGCAATGTTCAAATGCTCGAAGTCTAACAGTGAGTGAAGGGTAATGCTTTTTATAAAAAAACGCTTTGTATTAGCAGCAGGTGACTTCTATTTCAGTATGATGCATTTTGTATCTGACAGTGTCCCTTTAGCTTAAGGTTTCTTCTGCTGCATTTCTGTGGAGATAACTCTGACTCCTATAAGGGTTAGTATTCATATAGTAGTGCATCTTTAGGCACTAGGAAAAATGCTCCAAAGAATGTATTGGCTGCTGTCCAAGCAAATGTTTTTTCCACTAGTTATTGGTTTCGATACAAAATTTGGATACCATTTGATGCCAGCATAGGTTCCCGTTTTTACCTGCACTCTTGAACTCTGATCTTGTCATTCATATAGTTTAGACTCATCAAACAAGCTACAAGGTTTGGATGTTTTCGGTGGCTTTTGGACATTATGTTCTCTGAACAGTATTGTGACTGACAGATATAACCTAGAAAGTCAGTTTAGTGGCTTTGACTGATGGCTTTGTAATGCAAGCAGGGTGGGAACAAAAGGGGTTTTTTAAGCTTATGAATTTATGTTGCCATTTAAAAATAAATCAAAGATGCTACTTTTCTCTATTTGAGTGGGATGACTGTATTACTGAAGTTAAACTAATAGAAATTTAGAATTATATTTTAATCTATTATAAGAAGATCCATTACAAAAAAGCAGTATGAAGATTTGGCTGTTTGGGCTAATGGGATAACTTTATTGATGTACTTGACCATTGATGTAATTTTCCCACTCTGCTTGAGTAGAAGGTTAAATATGTAGTAAATCATGTCTATCTCTCTGTAAAATGTATCTAGTGAAATTATGTTTCTCAGACATACTGTTACCAATTACCTTTTCTAAATCTGTTGTTATGCAAATGAAATGCAATCAGTGTAAAAGTATTTTTGCAATGCACCTTCCAACCACTGGACATCATTTCCCTTTCTGATCCACAGCTTCTATAATGTACTTACATAATGTTTGAGGGCTTTTTGCTTTTTTCCCCTAAAGATGTGTATTTTTTTTTTACATTGGCCAGTTTTCAGATTGCTTATTCTTCTTTAAGATTGTCCTGTAAATTTAAGATTGTCCTGTGATCTTAAATACTAAAGCAATGAGTGTGTAGTTAACTTGCATTTTTTCTGTGATTTTTTTTTTCCTCTTCCTGTAAAGAATGAGCTAGGAAAGGCAGCTTGAATGAGGAAAAACCTCTTGCTACCTGAGCCATAGTTTTCTTAACAGCTACTGTATGGAGAATGTGTCTTCTTGTAGCCTTAAGGACTGGTGCTTGCAGATCTTTTATGATGAGCACTGTGCCCTTCAGTAAGTCTGCAGAATTTGTCCTTAGATTTGGAACTGTGTCCTTTAACTTTGGAAGCAGTTTATTTTATTCTTCAGGACCATGTTTAGGTATATACAGGTGTTCATATAAACCAGTGATTGACACTGTGGGAAAAGCTGAATGCTAACAGTCAAATGTGGGTGATTCTGTCACCACAGTGCTTTTTAAAAGGCTACTAAAAATGAGAAATAATTCCTAGCTGTAAATTGCAAGACACAGAAAAACTACTGTATTCCACATACTTACTTTCTTTTGTGTCTGTGTGTCTTCTCTAGACACCATCCTCTCCTCTTGCTTTTGATGCTGAGCCTCAGTATAATGGCACTATCCCTTAAAGCTGGTGCTCCATATTGGGCATACTGGGTGGTTTTGTGGCTTTACCAAACCAAAAAGCATTGCTGCTTTTTTTTCTCTTTCAAGGATTTTTTTTTCTTTTCATTTTCAGGATAATTAAAGCTTTTTGTTCAAATACAATCCAGTGTTCCCTTGCCCTCTTTTCCTATTTGATCCTGTATGTGAACCACTCTTGAAGTTGGAGGATAGTCAGGTGTAGAGCTTGAAGGAGAAATGGATTTGACTTGTCAGGGGAAAAAAGTGATTTTAAGGCTTCTCTGATTAGGGAAATGAACCAGTATAGATTTTATCAGAGTATTTACTTGAGCATAACTACCCATATGGATGTTCTTATTCCAGAAAAATAAGCAAACAACTTTATTCTGGATGAAATAGTAAAAATGATTCCTAAATTATTCTCACTGGTTAAGAGGGGGAAAGAATAACAGCATAACTGCAGCAGAATAGTTAAGCTAGTCTTTTCATTGTGTAGAACATAACAGAATATCATATAAAATATGATAAACGCATACTACCTACTCCTAAGTTCATGCCATGTGAAAATGCTTGTGTCGGAGCAAGTCCATCCCTCTGCAGAATCATTGGTAATGTGGCATCCTGCGAAGTGAGATATGGTTATAGAGAGCCTGTGACATTTCATGCCATATATTTCTCCCTCACTCCTATATTTTTTACTTTAGCTGTTGTGTTGCAGTGACTTATTCAAAGTAATAGCGTGGCTATGATTCCTTTGTTGCTGCACATCTTTATTTCCCAGTGTGTCTACTTAGGCTAGTTTGGCACTTGCCCTGACAAAAACAATAGTTTACACTGATGCATTGATCACTTGTCTTCAGCACTGTTTTGCCATTAGATGGGACTTAGCTGGCACAGTCTGTGTTTGTAGCAGGAACCAAAAGTCTCAGGAAGAAAATAAAGATCTGCTTCCCATGACCTGTAATGTAAAAGCCAGACGAGCTTGTCTGCATCTTGCTTTAGTCATGAAAATTGTATTGCAGTGTGAAGCAGACCATACTGTGAAAGGAGATCACTTAATGTGCGTGTTTATCCTTGAGCAACAGGACACCTCATGTTCAGTTCAGGGATCTTACTGGGGTTTTTTTTATACACCCTCTTTTCTTCTTTTTAATGCTCATCCTGTATAAAGGCCCTTTAACTGCAAACTGAACAGGGATTATTTAGAAGAGGCTTGTAGAAATCCTCTCTAGACCCCAGAACATTTGAAAATCTGTTTCTTTTGTGTGCATCAGAAAGATTTTGATGCTGTATGAAAACATGCATGCTGTATGTTTTATCTCTTGTAGCTACTTCTCTCACTTCCTCACTGTTAAGCCATTCTGTCTCTTCTTTCTGTATCTTCTTTTCAAAGTCTTATCTCTAAACAAAGGCATTATCCATATTTGATATGGATTTTATTGCCACTGTTGGGTCCAAACCCTGTGTGAGCAGGAAACAAAGCCTTCTTGTAAACCAGTGAGTGGAAGGTGAGATAGCGATTGCATTTTTCAAAGCATTGTTTTTGCTGAACGTCAAGACAAATTATATTGGGAGAGTTTCTTTTCTCACTTAAAATGGCCTGGGAAACAGAATTTTTATTTGCCCTTCAATATGCTTAGCTTTAAACCAGTTTAAAATAATTTAAAAGTGTTGGTTTTTTTTATACAAGACCATATTTACATACAATTATTATCTGTAAACATAATGCCTTTCTTGAAATGGTAAGGTCTAGAGAGTGAACAGGATGCTTAATAATGAAAGACTGTTCAGAATAGCACAAGCAGTGAATTGATGTGGAGTTCAGGAAAATAAATATGTTTTATTGACCTTCCAGATTTTCCAGTTAGCTTTTAATGAAGTGACGATTCAGTGTTGATACAGTAGATGTTATTGTGTATTCCAGCTACCCAGATCATATTTACACTAAAATTACAAGCAATAAGCTATTTGAAACAAGTTTAAGCCAAAATGCTTTCCATTTGGGCACAATAGTACCTTCTCAGTTGAACTCTTATTTTCATAACAGTGATGCCTTGTGACTTGAATTGTGGTTGGTTTGGGGGGATTTGGTTGGTTTGGTTTTTTTTTTTTTTTTTTCCCCCCAAACACAATCGTTATTTAGATGACTTTGGTTCTAGGTCATTGGTCAGTTTAACTGACCACCTCAGGTCAGCTGCTGCAGACCAGTTTTTGGAAGGTTCAAGTTTTTAGAAGGTTCAAGTTTTTAAAATAAGGAACTGTGAAAAAGGTTGCAAATTGAAATACGAAGACAAAATTATGAAAATGTTCACATGGAACTTATGAAAACTGTATAATGATCTAGACTTTATCATTTCAAAGTGGTTTCTTTTTTCTTTTTA